AACATTTAAAGAAAGGAAATCAATTACCGTAACTCAAAAAGAGGAGCTGCTGGTAAGTGACATTTATGTAGATTTTCTGTAGCATGTAAAAGTGGCCTTTATTTTTCTAAGTGATATTTTCTGCTCAGAGTCAAATTCTTTTCATGCAGCTTACAAAAATAAATACTTGTATTTTGCTAAGATCATAATAGCTCATTAGAAGAGGCTGAATTTGGACCTAGACTAAAACCTAACACCACAGGGCTGAGCATGCTTACTTGAACCTATAATGTTGCTAGTTCTTGCTCTCTGGGGAAGGAGAGGACGAGGGGAGAGGATTCAGCCTTCTTAATTGTGAACCTCATTAGTGACGGTTGCTAGGCAAAACACACACCTACTTTCCGCGCATATGAAAGAGATAAACAATACGTCATAGACCATAATGACTCTGGTGCTCAGGGCGACCTTTAATTATTATATTTTTGGTCTCTTATACCTTAGTTATTAATGCAGAAAAACAAATTATGGTTGTGTGTGTGGACCGCGGCAGATTTGTAAATCATTTTCCATTTTTTGATGTCTAGATCGCTTTGCCTTCTGATAGTTGGCGCTTGCCTCGTTCATTTCCCTCTCTGCCCATTGGTAAATACTATTTGAAACCTAAAATGGCAATGTTTGTATTAGCAGCTTAGTATTGTTATCACTTTAATTAATTTTATTAGTGTAAAAAGCCATGATTCTGTCAATATGTTGGTAACAACTCGAAAGAGCAGTCCCATGCAAACTGATGCGCATGTCCCGGCCACATAAGGTCACAGTGGGTTTGAGAACCTAACTCCTTCAGAACTGGAGATGTATTTGATCCCTGTGCATTTAAATTTTGGGCAGCCCTAAAGTGTTCAGGCAGTTGGATTGGATGATCCTTCCGAAAAGATTCTATCCTATCCTATTGTATCCTGTCCTATTTTACCCTATCCTATTGTATCCTGTCCTATTTTACCCTATCCTATCCTATCCTATCCTATCCTAACCCATCCTATTTTACCCTATCTTATCCTATCCTATCCTATCCTATCCTAACCCATCCTATCCTATTCTATCCCGTCCTATCCTATCCTGTCCTATCCTATGTTATCCTAAGCCAGTTTAAACCCTTACACTGGTGTATTTTACAGTGCAAACAAAGTGATATTTAAATCTAAATGATTATTTTGGGCTTTGCAGGCGAATAAATACATGTGTTCATGTGTACGGACGCAGCTGCGATTGCGTGCGAGTGATTTGGAGGCTGATGGGGTCCAGAAAGATAGGATTTCACAATTCTGGATTTCCAGAGACACTTTCCATTCTCCTCTTCATCTCAGACTATCTTCTTTTAGCAGTTCAGGCAAGAAGTCAATCACACTGAGTCAGGCTGAAGAAAAACATTTTATGCTGTTTTTCTCATACAAACCCCCTCCTGCCGTAATCTGCAGTAAGGCCCAGCCACAGGAAATTGACCTCACAGTAAATTCTTTACAGATTCGGTCATGTTTTTACCATCCACTTAAACTTGCATACATAACCTGAGACTGTACCTCTGGATCAAGGAATATGGCAAGCCAAAATAAAATCAAGTCAAATTAAAGAGCAAGAAAAAGCTGCAAGCAAAACAAGACTGAAATAAAAAAAAAAAATAAGTAAAAGAGGAAAAGATGAAAAATTGGTTGTGACTGCAAAACTCTGAGTATTAAATAAAGAAAGGAGTCAGAAGCAAATTCAGAAGCGTCCATATTCTAGTTGAAAAGGGCTGAGAAACACTAATGGACTTTTTTTAATGGGTGGTTTGATGGATGAGAGAAGAAATGATGTAAAAGTAAATGTAGCGGTGTCTCAACATAAAGTATGGTGCAAAACAAAAAAAAAAAAATTAAAAAAATAAAATAAAATAAAAAAGGCATTGCAAATAAAAAAAAAAGACATGTAAATGTGTGCCTACCATTTTCCAGATAAGAAGGGGCCGTACCTTCTGAGGGGTCAAGGCGGCGAGCCCGCCTCCCGTGTTTGGAATTGTTGTGTACAAACATGTTGTCTGAGACAGCCAGCACGTGGCCATCCACATTGACTGTTGTTGATACAACAACCTGGAAAAGAGAACAAAACCTCACATTTAAAAAATCCTGCAGATTTGCACTGAATCAGGTCTCGTAAGACACAACAACATCCTGTTACTTTTCTATTTCTATTTAAACCGAGTGAATGACATCTCTGAATACATCTTTGTTTACGTGGCGACCACTGGTGATTTTTAACTCACAATTGTTTCTCTTCAGAACCTGCTACACTAATTAGAGTTTAATCTCCTATTATGCTAACAAATGAATTCAATTCAGGAAAATATTCTTCTAGCCATTAGTTTCAGAAACACCCCTCTAGCCACTCATTTTAAAAGCTGCTGTTTTGATTGATCTGTTGATATATTGATTAGATAGTTTATCTAATTAAAATTTGTTCACTTGAGACTGTCTTCAAATGAAGGGTTGTGAGGATTCCAAATAAAAAAAGCTTAATAAATCAGGAACCATCGTAACTCCCCATTTTTTCTTCAGTAAATGATCTCCAGGTCAGTTTTACAATTACATTTAATGTCTGATAATGAACTTTTTTGCATCTGAAAAGACCGAGTTGAATATGAATAGTGAAAGTGTTTTCAATCCATGAAAAGTATCCCTTCTCAAGTTCATTTGGATGGTGATTGACCCTGGTATGTCAATGGAATTTCCTCCTTTATTTTTGAGTGAAAGGCTCCTATTCTTGTGTCCAGGTTCAGAGTCCGGCCATAGAAGAGATGATGGATAGGGCCTCCTTTGGCTTCCAGCTGCTTCTCAGTAGAAAATGGCAAAGGAACATATGCAAAACGCACAACCTTCCCGATAAAAACACCTACACAATGGAGCTGTGAAACTCCTTCCGGAAGCGATATCGCGTGAACACAAGCCAAGGAGGAAACCAGGAGCTGCGCCTGTGTTTGGGCTCCGTAAGTCCAGCACTATTATCCCAGAGAGACATTTACATCTTATTTAAATACTCCAGAGTGGGCTCTGTGCTGTGGGTTCCAGGTTTTCTGCATGAAGGATTTCATGCACTGCAGCGATTTCTTTGGGGTTAGTAGAGTCCGGAAAGTCAAAGGCTAAGTTAGACCTTATCAACCCAACCAGTGACGGCAGCAAAAGGTAGGACAAATTTTAGTTTTCACCTTCCATTTATTTTACTTTGGGATGTAACAAAGATGATTGAAGGGTTCTCCCACCAGCTCCTCAACCTAAACACTTAACAAACACAAACGGAAGGAGAGAAATGAGCCTCCTTTTGCACAGAGCTGGTCCAAGGCATCAGAAGAAAATTCTTGTCTGCTTCTATGTTTTGGATCACCTCTGATCCTGTTTCTTATTCACAAGCCATAATGAGCTTCCAGCTATCACAGCACCTTTCCTGTGTATCCTGCCTCCTTTGAGACAGCCATCTGCGGTACCCTTTAGAACAGCCCGAGGGCAGTTCTCTGCCAGGCTGCTCTGCTTCCCCAGCTCTCTCCTCCCACAAGTGGACACTTTCACTCTTGTCAACATCCACTTCGGAGAGTGCTGAGGTTGCACCCTTGCCTTGGCCACAGAGCTGCTGCCAGCCACTGGGCTATCAGCTTTCACTCCTAATGAGATTCCCAGACTTTAAGAAATATTGCAAAACATACAATCGTGATTTTCAGCCAAGATTTCTGGATTTGGTTCCTAGAACACGGTGTATTAAAAAGACAGAGCAAGGTGTATATGAAAATGACAACTATTTTTGTTCTGTCATGTATATATAGGTCAGTCACCAAGGGAAAATACTGTAGTTCAGCAAAAGAAAGTCGACGTGCTACGCTTTGTTATATCACCTTCCTCCTGCAGTGCACCTCCAGAAAGGTGCTGAGACAGTGAAACCAGGTAAAAATACTGTTCAAGATCTGACATCCTGTTAAGTACAGTTAAACCTGAGAGGCAGGAAGATTAGCTAAAGAGACCCAGGAAAGTCTTTCTAGTGCCTACTGGCTCCATTGTCAACCACAAGATCACTCCTGACTGATGCTTCATTTAGTCATCGGTGAGACAAAGAGGACATTTCCACTCATTCCAGGTTTGACCTTCTGTTCTGTTCAGATGGATCAATATCACCGATGCCACGTGAAGCTGAGATGCATGAAAAATGGAAGCTTGGCTCAATTGTTTTGAAGGAATATTTTTTTTCCCAGCTACAGATCTTTTCTGTTGGCTGGCTCAAGGGTGTTGGCTTCCCCGGTTGGTTGGCTGTGCATGAAAACAGATGTCACATGTTTTTCTATCAAGTTTAACCACAAGTTATTCTTCTCCAAACTAAGAAAATCTTGAACATCTCAATACTACTTTATTATTAGAATCAAATATGACTCATTGTGAAATATTTTCAAATAAAAGGCATTTATTTCCTAACGAGCCTTTCGAATGACCCCAGATATGGAGGAAATCATTTGTCCATCCCGTCAGCTGTCTCTCTGTAGTGTTATGATTCACCACAGGATATCTCAAGAGCTGTAAGGAGAAAGTGAAGTATTAAACATTTTCTAACATAATTGAAACAAAAATATGTGTGTTGGGCCACCACTGGTGGATTTACAAGTTGTGAACCTGAAAAACCCCTGTGTGAGATCCAAACTCCCTTGTGCTCCACAGTTGTGTCGTTAGTAAGATCAAACTACTTAGTCTATGTAAAACCTCTACAGGTCTGAGCATACTCCAAACTACTACACAAGGTGTTAGTAGGAAGGAAAATTAGGGAAATACTTTTTAAGGAGAGATCCACTTGCTTAAGCACTGATCCATTACATTCCACTGCAGAACTTGGAACGTCCCAAGAACCAGCATTTAAATTAGTGGGAGAAATGTAAAATATTGACAGCAATTATTTTTAAGCATTGGAACTACACTAAGTAGAAGCCCCAACACTGATTTTCCATTACGAAAAGTTCAAGATGAAGATGTGACTAAGTCTTTTATATGTCGTTTATGCTTTTAGAGGGATCTGTACCTGGAATCTTCGCATGTCTCGCGGGTTGCCTGCATTCTTCAAACAGTTCTGATTGCACTTGAGGAAAAACTTTAGAAAGAATCTATAAAAATACAAAATTGAAATCTATTAGATTCATCAAAACGTAAATCCAATTTTTAAAAAGTTTAATAAAATTTAATCATAAATAGTTATACCCAAAAGAATACTGGTAGTGAAATATTACTTTCCTATTCCTTAATGAACTTATTTTAGAGCATAAGAATCTCTGTCATAAACAGAACATTATTGCCAAGGAAAGGCAAATTTATATTTTTAATTTTTCAACAACTACAAATGTATTGACTCCAGGCCATATCCTTAACTCGGTGTGGGCAAGTTGATTTCGATGACTCATTGACTTCAAAGGCAAGGACTTACACCAGATGAGAATCTGTCTCTATTTTTTTTAATACTTTTTATTTTTTCACAACTTATATTAGCAGTAATGACCTCTACGTTGAAAAATTCCAAAGGTAATGAATGATCAATCTTCTGAAAAACACTTGGCTTTGCCTCCGGTTTGGAAAGGCTTGCTATTCAAAGGGACTCGATCCAACTCCTGCTGACTCCAGGGAGATCCAGGCAGGATCTGCCCACCGGCAAGGCCCCAGTTTCCTCATTGTTTTTGAAAGGAAAGGAACATGGCAAATTAGGCCCTGTCTTACGACCTCTTCAACCTTTGCCAGCCTTTAGCTGTGAGGAGTCACTCTACCCAGGGATCGAAATCCAGCTTATTTCTGCTGAGCGGCAACCAGCAATTATTTAGGACTAACCCTTATCATCCAGGCATCTCCCCATAAACCGTTTTTGCAGCAACGCTGCCTCAGGGGAACACAGCAAGCACTTAGAGGAAAGGGGAAAGCTTGGAAAGATGGAAACTCCTTTATGCCACCCTCCCGTACTGGAGGAAGGAGATGAACTGGGAAGTCTCCACCCTGCAGGTGAAGCAAAATGGGGGACCCTCACTGTCCTGCCATCACACAGGAGGACATTCACAGCCCAACACCACATCTTTTCTTTATGTTGCTATGTTTTTGTGTTTCATCTCTAAAAAATATTTTGTGGGTTTGTTTTCTGTCTAATGACTGACAGCTAATGACAAGAAAAGCTCAGGACTTTCTCCTCACCCAGAGTTCCTCAGATCCTCGAGTCCAGCAGCTTGTGCCGCCCAACTTCATACATGCTGAACAGCGAGGTTAGCCAGAGCTTTCACATTTAGAATATGAACAATTATTATTTGTTCGTTCATATCAGTGATATTATAACTGATCATGACTATTCTTGCTGTACACACCTCATAGAAACTTCCATGTGCCAACAGCATTCCTGGCAAGACAGGCACCTCGTCCCTTCTTGAGCACCCAACATGAATCTACCATGGCCAACAGAAAGTACAACTGTGGCTGCACCACATTGTGCTCACTTCTGAGAAGCTTTGAAGGTCATACAGGAGTATCATGGAATTATTCGCAGATCACAAACCACTGCTTTTAATCCCAGCTCTTCCTTTTCCATTAAACCTTGAGCAGGACCCTGATATTACTACAGGACACTAACGGTGAAGGAGCGATCTCTCATATCAGAGAGGCAAGTAGGGAAACAACCAGCTTTACCGAAACTGCATAAATAAATCAATGCTGTCAGTTCAGCTGAATGCACACTTCTTTAAAAATTCCTATACCAAAACCTGTACAGGAGTTTTAGCTGTCAAACTGTAAAAGATCGGGATTTCTGTGGTGGTTGATGTGATATCCAAGCTCGGATGCTCGGATTTCTGGACACTGCTGCAGGGACATTATCAGCAACTCCACGAAACTTCATCTTTGTTAGACACAACTTCCCCTTAATTTTATCTGCATTGATTGGGTTTGGGGGTTTTTTAATATACTTTTTCTCTCCAGATCAACTGAGTATAGGCCAGCTTCCCTGCCCGTGGCAGGGGTTGGAGCAGGATAGTCTTCAAGATCCCTTCCAACCCAAACCATTCTGTGTTTCTATGATTCTAAATGTAACATTTCTGTCATATCTCTGGTTTTGCATACCTTCCACTGCACAGACTGTGATGATGTGCAAGGACCAGCTGATGCCCACATACAGGACCACCTGGCACTGGGGATTTAGGAGCTGGGACAAGCCTCCAGCTTTACAGCTCCTTAGTGCCACATCGAGGCTGAGGAGCAGTATCTTATCTTTTTTTTTTTTCCCTGATCTCAAATGGGTGTTGTGAGGCTTATTGAGCTAATGTTTGTAAATTGCTCGGAAATTCTCCAATGAATTGTGCACTAGGAATGCTAAGTATTGCTCCTCGTGGATTGTTTTTAGAGTGAAGCATTCATGATGAATTGTTTCTATACAGAGAGCTCACATCCTGTCAAAGAAAAAGGGCCATTAAGCACCCTTTCACTAAACATCAACTGGAACCAGTATTTGTTCAATTATTTGGTGAAAAGGACCCACTCTTGCTGAAATTAGACATCATCAAGTTTATTTAGATGGCCCTGAGCGCTGGGCTAAATATTGAGGCCGCAAGGCTGGAGTGAACACAAGAAGCACTTGTATTTCAGCTCCATTACATTCCTTCATACTGAGATATTTTATTTCATTCTTTAATCTGTGCTTTCAGAGAGTTCATGGAGCACAGGTGGCATCAAGACAAGATTTTTAGAGGAAGACAACATAAGTTAAAAACCACATTCCCAGGTAGGGTGTTTGCTTGCCAGGAGGAGACGACTGGCTTGGTCATTCCGCTGACCAACAAGGACTGTGGGCACTACAAACCCATTCCTTCCATCCCAACCACTTTCTCTGCTAGCCCTGAGCTCCGGAGACAAGGTCTCTGTGGCACAGTAAGAAGCAAGGACCTGGATAAGTGCTCTGCTTGGTCACGTCTCAAACTTTGATGCTCCAACAGAATGAGAAGTCAAGCCTTCCTAGTTTTGGCTCTCCCTGCTATATTTTGTATCATATGCACAAACTGTAGAATTTTTTATTACAGAAGAGCCTTCCCAAATGTGCTAAGCTGTTCCTAAAATACTGATACAGAGAAAAATGCAGTCTTTGCGATGTTCCCTTGCTCTGATTTTTTCCCACTGTTAGAAAGGGGCCTGCTACCATCTTAATTAAAATGTATTACCTTCCACAAGACTCCACTATTTTAAGCTAAAATTTACATCTTTTATTAACTCACCTCACCTATACACTTATCTGGCGGTGCCTCTCGCCGCCCATCTGCCATCCGCATACAGTAAGTCACTTGATATTCCACCCACCAATTTTTCCTAACAACCACTGTGCAATTAAACTCCACACGTTCTGTTGCGAGGTAAATTAGGCACACCTGCGGCCAGCCTGCATTTGAACCGCATCAGAAAAGGACCTAACAAGGTGAGAGCGTACCACAAAGTTATAGGCCTGTCAAGCAATTAGGTTTTCACTTCTGGGACATCCGCACAGTGCAATTATGCTCCACATTACAACCTGGCTAATCTTCTGAACAAATGTCATGTCTCGGAGAAGCGAGTAAAAGCAGTTCATCTGCAAATGTGTCTGCTCTTAAGCCTCCACCTTCTGCACATAACAACCTACAGGAGACTTTTTTTTGCGGTATGAAAGATGGTTTTTTTCCATAGAAGATTTTTTAAGCCCTGCAAGTGCCTTTTCATCCTGTTCACCTCTTCTTAACCTCTGTGAGAGGAGGTGTTGCAGCAAATAGACCAGAAAGACTTTTGTACTTGAATTTCAACACTAAGCAAGAAAATCCTTGGTGTTATAAGCACAAGTGGTGGCTTTAGTTTGGCCCAATTCAAATGCTGTTTGGCTAAAGGAATATTTGTGGCACAAAACCACCCATTACACCCCAGAAACACCATTAATAAAGGGTATTTCCACCAAACCACAAACAGAAGCCTCATTCATGCAAATAAACCTCAGAAGGAAGTAAATGCTTAATTCTTTTTATTTCAGATACGGAGTTTGAGTGTCCTGGTGTCAACATCCTAAACCAAACTCTGCACTGATGAGAGGCGAGATTGTAAGGAACTCAGCCAAAACCTGGAGTGACAAGCTGCCTCCACCCCTTTATCCAATAAGATCTTCCCAACATCCAGCTCAAACAGGATCAAGGACACAAAACTGTATCAGCCCCACAGGCAGCATTTTGTTTTACTCCAATAATTCTGTTTCATTTTCATCTGTATTTCAGGTGCACAGTTTTGTTGTTCAATTAAGCCTACAGATGAGATCTTGCTGTACTACAAAATACAGAATTGTTAAGATATGACAGGTCTGCTCTACTTTCAAGAGTAAAAAAAAAAAAAGGGATTTGGATCATTATCTGCGATTTTGAAGTTCTTTGGAGGAGAAGCTGTCCACAGGGGCACGATGCTGTTAGGAGGTGGAGGCAGGAGAGAGAAGAGAAGAGGAGACATCTGAAGTCAAATGGTAATTCTTATCCTTTACTCGATTACCCTTTAATTGGCTTTTTCCTAAGAAATATCTGACAACCACTTTGCATATCTCTTTTCTAGAGCCTCTAAACAAAGGATTTAATACTCTTGTTATGAAAGGAAAAATCTTTCCTCTGTCAGAAAATCTTTTGGCTTTAGCACCAATAAACTCTTTATTACTGCTAAACTTGGATTTGCTGCTCGATCGCAAAGAGGCGATAAAAACTCTAACCTGTCATTAGTGCATTATGCTTAATTGTGTACAGTATGTTTCCAGTTGCATCTGTTGGCCCATTATCAAAATGACCATTATGTACACTAATTCCCTGACCCTGTCTTTATTTCCCTAAAGAGTCATAATCTTTCACAGTAGGTATCAGAGTAAATCAAGCTTGAAATATGGGCTTTATTTACTTGTTTCTCCCAGGCAGAGTGGAAGACTGTAGCTAAAGACAAACTGCTGGAGATAAGTAGCAAGTATGTTGTAATATTCCACTTGGAGAAAGGGTGGAAGCTACTGGGTGACCACTGAAATAGTCAAAAATGCCATTCCATTTCTTTTTTATTTCGGTTCTATATCAGGTAAGGATAAGGAAATATTTATCTCTGGTTTGTG